CTCACTATTGGTCCTTCTCCACGCCTTTTTTCCATCATTACCATTTGCTTGGATTGGATCTTGCCACTATCATAGTCAGGTCCATTGCCACCATCCTCATTATTGAAATATCATTCTCCATCCTGTAACTCATTTAAATTTTTAAAATTTTAAAAATATTTAACTCATTTGAATCCATTCTTTTAACATAGTTATGAAGAGCAAAGCATATTTATATGATAAAAGTTTGAGTAACAAGCTTGAAATTGATCATGTTTTACAATATTCTCCATCTTGCCTTGCAAATACCAAAAATTCTTTCAAAAACACTTCCTAAACTAGAATGATGAAATTAAATTTCATCACTTGATCTAAAGTTAGGAGTCATCCTAAAATGTGCAAGATGATACCTTGTATTCTTGTGTGATCTAGGAGACCTTTGAATGATGAGTATCTTGAGTCAATGAGATAAATTTACCTATGCATAAATAAAAAATATTAAACAATATTGCATAAATATTTATAAATCACTTAAATATTTCAAGTTATATAATACTAACCTTTAAGATGATAGGGAAATCGTAAATGTGGTTTATGAAGCGTGTCTATAAAAATCTGTGCATAATGTAAAATCCTAAATTTTCTAATCTAAAACCTATTTGCTAATTAAGGATAAAATTAGTAAATTAATTAAGTTAATCATGTTCTTGAGTTGTTAATTAACCTTGTGAATCATTTGGCAACTTCAAAGTTTGGCTAGGGAGGAACTTGGATTGGATCATGACTGAATGGCATGAGACAAGTGAGAGATTTCTCACCATGCCACATGTCGCGGCTTGTACATCATATGTTGTGGTGCAATGCACATTTTTAGCATTAAGAGGTCATGAATTAGTTGAAGAAATCAAAAGAAAGGTTGGGGGTTTTTGGGGAGCTCAAGGGAGAAGAAGTTAGGCTATGCTAGGGCATCAAAATTCAAGAACTCAATAGTTATTTTGGATGAACAATCTTCTGGGTAAACTTCCTAACCTTTTCTTTTACCTCCCTATCTTGTTTTCATGTGGAAGGGGTGTAGAGTTATTCTAAGTTGGAGAATCTAGGGATCCATGTCTAAGAGCTTGTATGTGGCCTTAAGAGTTTGATTTAGGTTCCTCAGTTTTAGAGTAAGTGATTTTATGAAGCTAAGTTATGGGGTTTGTTATTTGAATTGACCCTAATTGATTTTGTGGTTTTGAAGTTGTACAAGAAAATTAATGGTGATTAATTAAGTGGGGGGGTTAAAGAAGAGGGTGAGTTGGCTGTAGCTTTGAATTGCTCAACAATAAAAGATATGAGTTATGATTAGTTAAATTTAGTTAAAAACTACTTATGTTATGTTAGAAAACTGATATATAATGCTTGATGTTGTAGAGTTTGATAGTTGGAAGCTTTTTGAGGTTAAAAAGCCATATGAACTAATGTTGGCCATAAGTAATGTTTTTATGTCAAAAGGGTTGAGGTAAATAAATAATTGATATATTTATTACCTTGTGAAGTCATTTGCAAGTTATTTATGGAACCATATAAATAATATATCTATATATGAGTTTTTGAACTAATAAGGCAGGCAAGAAAATGAGTTTTGAAAAGATAGGAAATGCATGCCTAAATCATCTTTTAATTATAAGATAAGAGTGTTTTTAATTGCATGATCATTGCATTAGTACCAAAATATATTTGCCTAGGTAAGATGTAATTAAATGACTTGCATATGCATGATTATGAGATGATTAATGGCATGTTTAGTAACGATGGGAGTTTACTTTAGGTAGAATAATAATAAAATTCATATGGTATCGTTGACATCGCGAGACACTTAATGTAGCTAACACTTTCTTCTTAAGACATGACAGGGCACTGTGTTGGAGAAAAATACTCCTTAGCATCCATAGGGTGTAGTTTTTGAGTAACGATACCTCAATTACTTATAATAGGGAGAATTCATAGTTTAAAAATGAACTATAACACCTTTGGCTAGAAAATTTTTTCATGGAAGGAGAGCTTAGATCAAACTATAAGGTTTGGTCCAATAGTGTAGCCTATAGGTTTGGTCGAGAATATTAGAGGTTCGAATGGATATATAGTCATTCATGGTATTTATATTATGTAGTTATTTGTAGCATAAACATGTTTTAAATATCTTGCTCTATTACTTATTTATGATTTTTCTTGTTCATAAATATTATAAATTCTTTTAGTTACTGAGACTATCTCACTCATGATTACTATTTTACAGGTTCAAAGATGGATAAGGGACAACGGAAAGAGAAGGGTAAGGAGTAGCTATTCCACTAGTTGTAATGCCTTGTATACATTTTGAGTTTATATATATGAATGTAACTAAATAGCATTTTGTTGCCAACTAATAATGTACATGGTTTTTGGTTTGGACTTATATGATTTAATGATGACTTGTATTTTGGCCTAGGATTGTGAAATATTGTGATGCATGTGATAATGGGGCTGAAATGTTAGTACAAGTACAACTATAGTGTAAAAGTGATGTAATATTCAAAACTACACTTGTATGATGTGATTTTGTAGTATTTTAGCCTAAGGTGAATGTTTAATTAAACATTGTGTATCCAGGCTAAAATATGGTTATAAACGTATATTAATGTGAAATATATGTGGATGTATGATGGTTTGGCCAAGTAGTGATGATATATGAATATTATGTGAATGACCTTGTTTTATGAGAAACTAGGGTTAGGTGGCCAAATCTTAAGCTTGATGTATGATTGTGTAATTAATTGATCAATCAGGCACACAATGGCCTGTTGGACTTGATTTAAACTCGAAAAAGAATTGATGATATAAGTTTTGGATTTTGAACACTTGGATACATGAAATTTGCTCTTAAAATGGTTATTTGAGATTTGTATGTCACATTTTCAAATTTGATATTGGATTAGAATGAAACTTATGACATTAGCTAAATTATCAAATGAGCTTCATGTGAGTGCTATATTATTAGATGTTAGTTGCGAAAATGGCATACGTCTAAAGTTCGCCATAATAGACAATTTTTTATTATTATGAAATGGCATGTGCACTATGACATAATTACATAAGCTGTGGTGCATAACACAATGGCAAGATTGAACTCTTCATGCCATATATTGTGGCATATGTGCCAAAAAGTGCTGATTTGACTTTCTTGCCCTTGTTTTCATGTGTTTTGTTTCCTTATGTCCTTCCATGCTTCTTATACTTTTAAATCTTAATTAGTTGAAGCTCAAACTATTACTTTAAAGGGTTTATGAGATTTTAAAGGTTTTCAATTTTTTCTCAAAGTTTTTATAAGTTTATAACATTCATTCATTAAGGTACTTTGGGAGGGGCTCAATGACTCCTATTTACCATCGTGTCATTATGTGTTATGTTTGAGGTGATTATTGGTAATGTCAAAATGAACGTTATATATCATCTTTTATATGTTAAAAAGTAGCAATGTCCATTGAATTGATAGGTCTAATTACACAATTGCCTAACTTGTGTACAGCTGTTAAAACTCTTTTGAAATGGTTGTGAATGATTTGACTAGAGTGCTGAAATTGTTCTTGAACTTGTCTATATGTGAATAAAAAAAAGTCAAAATATAAACTAATTTTTAGATCTTCAAGCATTTGAGTTTTGGTTTCACATTAAATTCACTACACTAAGTTCAGCAAGCTGGGAACAGGGGATAAATCAATTAGAAATCTTATAGTTCAAGCTCAAGTGTAGTCAAAAGGAATTGTGGAAGTAATGGGTAAGTGGTGAAAGCAGGTGATTGAATGCTGATAGCATTACATTTAGAGTTGCATCAAATCAAAGGTTTAACAAGACATGAATTAGATGTTGACAATATATGAGACCTGCCAATGTCATACAGTGAAATTTAAATAATGGAAGGATCTAATTTGAAAAAAGTCTGATAGAAAGAGCTTATTACTTGAATTAAACACTCGATAAAATATAATTAAAGAAAAGAAAATCTCAACCTATATCCTCAAAAAGGCTAAACCTGTAGCTCCTAATTTGATTCTTATTTCAACTTTACTTGATAAAATAAGATGGAAGAAGAGAGCAAAAATACTACCCAGTAAACTTCAAAACACTCATAAACCCAATCAATTGCAAGGTTGAACATGAAAACATAAATGTTAAAAAAATCATATAACTCTAAAGTACTAAAATCTATCACCATACGAAACATAGTAGGCAGCCGAATAACAAATCAAACCTCTAAATAGATTTGGGAGATCGGGCTGATCCGATGTAAACAAACTAGAGTGAGGGAGAAGGTGAATAATGGCTACTTGAGTGGGAAAAGATGTTGAGAAAGAAGACACAAGGAAAATGCTTACTTTTGTCCTATGCAGTTTTGGCATAAAATCGCCGTGCCTTTTCTAATTTTCCCTCTCATCTATCGTAGGACTTATTCTAAGAAGCAATTTAGATTAATTTATCCAAATAATCAAATATTTGATTTTTTTTTTAGATTTTGATTATTTTTAAAATCTTAAACAAATATCTTAAATATTACTTAAAGTGATTTTTTTAAAAAAATGCTTTTTCTAAAAAAAAACCAAAACAAACGCCTATTTTCTCCTTTTTTTAATATGTTTTTAACTTGATTTATTTATTTATTTATTTTTTTGGGTTGATCATCGTCTTTCTCATTTTTTCTTTCTCCTCCTTCCATTTTCGAGTTCTGATTCTCAATAATAAAAAAAAAAATCTGACTCATACCATTTGTGTGAACCAACTCTGATTTCTGGCTCAACATCCGATTTCGGATGGCTCAATCCCAACAAATTATTCAAACAATCTAAATGTACAAGCCAAGCTGTTATACTAAATGGGTGCCGGCCGGACCGGACCAACTCCAGTTCGGTTTTGAAAATATCGTGTTTCACTACTATTATAGCCTCTGCAAATTTTGTTTTATTGGTGTACGATGACATTAACAGTAAGTCATTGATTGATTGATATAAAAGGTTAATTAAAAAATTATGTAAACCCTTCGTTGCGGACTTGCGGTACCGAGTCGGTCAAAAGCAAGCATTTGTCACGATCGCTGCAGGCGAGTGCGCTAGTGTGATCTGCTCGTATTTAAGTACACCACTGATTACTGATTACAGCTAATTTCTCCGAGTGTACGGAGGCCACCTATTTGGAAGAATTTATAATAGACGAGGTCGTTTGAATAATTCCGCGCCGTTGTTCTGTCATTTCCCAGCAATTTCCGTTGGACGTGTTCGTTTCAATTTCATAAACCCGTAGTCCAAGCCTTCCCCTACTGTTCCATTCCCTTCTCCTTTGTTTACTACTCATTCCTCACTCCTGCTGACTTCATTAGCTTCTTTTCCCATCCTCATCACTTCATTCCACAACTGATTGGAGCGCCAATTCTTCACCTGGGTTTCTGGTTGTTGAACTTGTGTGTATGTTTTTCGCGGATCTTCCCAAAAATCTGTACTTTTTTTCATGGGGTTTAGATGATAGTGACGATGAAGCGGTTTGGGTCTGTCATGTTTTAGTGTGATCTTAACTTGATCCTCCATGGCTTCGCTTCTAAGAAAATTGCGGCCTGCTGCGTCATCGTCGATTCACGATGATGGCAACGAGTTTAGCTATGAGTACTCGTTTGCAACAGAGTACAAGGGCCCTCCTCTCAATTTCTCCATCCCTCAAGTAACCCCTTTTAAAATTGAGCAAATCCCAGTTGCTTCCTTAGCTTCTTCTTCAGTTGATCAACTTTCCGTGCCAGTTATTCAACCTATTGTGAAATCTAACAAAAAGCTGAAACTTAATGGAGATGTTCTTGTTTCTTCAGATTCAAATTCTCCTGCTATTGAATTTGCTATCTCTGGCTCTGCTGAGTCAACGAAGACTGGCTCTTTGCGAGTTAGGGTGGATACAGTAGATAGGATAGATAAGTCAAGCTCGTTAAACAGAATTTATGATGCTTGTAAGTGTAGCACAGAAAATATATCACAGAAACTTCAGACTTCTGGGTCTTTTGGAGTTTCTGGCAGGGGTGAAATTGTTAGCGAGTCTCTTGAAAGTGAATTGAACCCCACAAATTCAGATACTGCAGAGTCAGGCTCAAGCTCGCGCTCAGCTTCTTCCGGCATTTTTTCATGCAGAGAAGATGACCGTAACAATAACGCACCGGTACATGTCAATCGGCCTTCAGTTGTGACTTTTCTTAGTTCAGAAGAGTCACTTGAGATGGCAGTTAACGAGAACTTTAGGGGTTCTGAGGTTGCGAGCATCCCTGTGAGGCCACATGCTGAGAGAACAGGGAAGAAAGGCACGTGCTATAGATGCAAAAGAGGAAATCGGTTCACTGAAAAGGAGATTTGCATTGTGTGTCGTGCCAAATATTGCCGATCCTGTGTTATAAGAGTCATGGGGTCTATGCCTGAAGGAAGGAAATGTATCACTTGTATTGGTTTCAGAATTGATGAAAATATGAGGATTACCCAGGGAAAGTGTTCTCGTATGCTCAAACGCATGTTGTCTGAGGTGCAAGTAAAACAGATAATGCAAGCTGAATTGAATTGTGAAACTAATCAAATGCCCCCAGAACTTTTTTTTGTGAATGAGGATCCTCTTGACCGAAGCCAGCTAAAGCTGTTACTGAGCTGTCACAAACCCCCAAAAAAGTTTAAACCAGGCTACTATTGGTATGATAAAGCATCTGGATTTTGGGGAAAGGTGAATATTATCCTTCTTAAGTTCTTATATTAATCTTGTTAATCTTCCTGGTGCTCAACCTTTATGAGGTTGAGTTCCTCAGATTTTACTGTTAATGCTTTAACAATTGAAACCCATATTTGTCGTACTGCAATCTAACAGGATGGTCATAGGCCTTGGCAAATTATTAGCCCGCAACTAGATGTTGGAGGTCACCTGCAAAAACATGCAAGCAAAGGAGACACAAAAGTGTCAATAAATGGCCGAGAAATTACGAAACGCGAGCTCACGATGCTGAAGGTTGTCGTACTGGGAATAACTATAATTTATTGAGGTTTACTGAGCATGTTGAATGAATCGAAGTATGTTCTGTTTGTTTGCAGCTAGCAGGAATCCCATGTGAAGGAACACCTAACTTTTGGGTTGGTGAAGATGGCTCCTACCTGGAAGAGGGGCAGAGGAATGTCAAAGGGCGTATATGGGATAAGGTGACTAGTGTGTTGATTGAACTTGCCTTTTCTTCCCATATTTTTCTTGCTATATCATTCGTCAATGATCGTGAGTATACTCTTTTACAGACAATAGTGAGGATAGCTTGTGTCTTTCTGCGTCTGCCAGTTCCTTCCAACCCCATAGCTCCCAGTGGTGAAAGCGAAGGAGGAGATAATAGAATCAAAGATAACCTTGTACAGAAAAACCTTTACAAATTTCTTCTCGTTGGTTCTATCAAATCTGGAACAAGTACTATAGTTAAACAGGTAGTAACAAGAACGCTGCTGGAGGGAACTCTTTTTCGTTGCACTGAGCACTGTTAATGGACCAAAGGAAAAATTTGATGTTGATAAGTTGAATAATTTAGCCTAATTCTTTTACTGCTTTCCGTTTCTCCTGCGATCATTTCTATATGATGTTGATCCCAAACAAAATGAAGTTAAAGGTATTGTACATTTATAACTGTTACAGACCTGAGCTCTTCAACATACTTGATTTTTATCGGTCACAGCTTACATTGCTAGTTGTCCTGGTCAGGTGATAGCTTTGTGCTTGACCCATATTTTCAGAATTTCTTCTGATATACATTCTATTTGGTTAAATTTTGGTATTTCTTGCCTTTTCCTTTGTATATTTGACGAATGGATAACACTTATGTTTGTTAAATAATCCTTGATTTGGAGTGATCCTAAAGACTGAATATTTGATCTCAGGCCAAGCGTCTGTACAACATTCCTTTCTCTGAAGAAGAGCGCCAAAATATCAAGTTGGTGATCCAAAGTAACTTGTATACATACCTTGGTATATTGCTGGAGGGGCGTGAGACTTTTGAAGAGAGCTTGTTGGAGAAGAGGAACGGACAGATTGCTGACGAATCCACTTCAGCTGGTAATTCTTTTTCCCTAAATGAAAATTAACCAGAAGGCTTGTTTGGATCAAATGATTGGCAGCATTCCCTTGACCCCTTCCCCTTTGCAAATCAGTGTGTGTGTGTATCATAAAGTAGGCTGGTTTTATAGATTCGACCACTCAGCATTATTGATAACTTGAGCGGGAGTTTTTTCAAATGTTCTATGATTTTCTTGCAGCCAGAGAAATTAATTAATGTTGTGTAGTCAATTGCAAACGGCAAAGCATATATGGCATTTCTTCTTTTTTAAGCTGAATGCTTTAGAATACTTCAATGCCATTATGATATCTTAATGCTTCAATACGTGCACACTCTGACTTACCTTTCAAAACAGTCCCGTGAAACTATTTACACGATGCTTCTGCGTAGTGATGGCTCTTTGTTAATTAGCCTAAAGAAAAAGTTCGTCTGCCATTAACTGATAGTTTATTATGGAAAGAATTTATTAACATCAGTTAGCAACAGGGAACACAGGCGAAACTACTTATACAACAATCTATTCCATTAGCCAAAGACTGAAAGCTTTCTCAGATTGGCTTATCAAATATATGGTTTCGGGCAACTTGGATGTGATATTTCCTGCCGCTACTCGTGAATATGCGCCTCTTATAGAAGAGCTATGGAGGGATGCAGCCATTCAAGCAACATACAACCGGAGAAATGAACTAGCTATGCTACCTAGAGGTGCAAGTTATTTTCTGGACCGGGTAAGATATTGTTTGGTTTTCAATCTGTTATTCATATTGTTTATGCCTGCTGAACATGAGTGATTCCTGCAACATCCTATTTTAGGAACCTTTATTCGGCAATGGAAGATATATTAGGTTCCATTAGGAGCAGTTAGAGACAAGAAGAACTTGAAAATTCAAACTCAATCTTGAATTGCTTTATCTAGATATTTCTAGAAATTTAGGCTGACTTTAAAAATTCATAACTTATTCTAGAAATCTTGGATAGAGCTGAGAGCTCATTCTTGTCTCTCTTTAAAGCTAAATGAGTCCTCTATATAAGACAAATACAAAACTTGACTTTGACTAAGCCGATCAATACAGTTTATTCGTTTAAATAGATTGCTCTGTTTTGCCCTTTCCAACATTCCAGAGTTTTTTCTTTGACTTTAAAAATTCATTTATTAAGTTATAGGACTCCAATTCATGTGTTCTTGAGCTTGTTAAAAAGCATAGAACCTTATCTATAAGGGAAAAATATACCACATGACTTTTGTGCATCCATTTAATACAGTTTAATAACTCTTTAAAACTGTTTAATTCTCAATCATACTAGAGTCAGATTTCTGCGTCCTACCTTGCAAAATTCATATCTAAAATTATAGAGCTCCAATCAAAGTGATCTTGGGCTTGTTTGAAAGATTGAGATGCCTTCTCCAAAAATAAAAACATGAAACAGAACTTAGATAAGCCCAGATTATATAGTTTACTCATAAATGTTGAACACTTAGTCTGTCCACAGAACTAACTCTAGAATTCATAGGTCTACTTTCAAAATTCATTGTAAATTCTACATCTTTCATATATATGTGATCCCTAGCTCATTTAAAAGCTTGTGAAGTCTGCCATATGATAAAAATAGTAAACAGAATTTTCTCTGGCGAATAAATACAGTGTTCTAAAAACATAATGTTTCGATTTACTTGCTTCACTACTTCCAATATCCGTTTCTCAACCTTGTAATCCCATGATACATACGTTTGATTACCCTCATATGAGATTTGTTATAAAGCTTAGAATGTCCTTTATCTAGGTTAACAATTTCAAGAATTATAAGTCATTAGATCCAGTTTTTGATCCAAACATGAAACTATAATGAAAACTCCCATTTCCAACATAGCACTTACTAGTTATTTTCCTTAAACTCCCATTCTAACTAGTTTATATACATAACTCATATAAACATCTTTTCAGGACATACAATTCAAAGAAACAGGACAGACTACAAATCTTCTAAAGTCACTTGATTTTACATATATTTTGTAAATCATGATACCAAACACGATATATGATTTAAACTTGACTTCTTGCTTTTTCTTCTCTTCAAAACTTTCTTGCTCTCTTTGATACAAAACTGGAACCTGTTTTAGTATATTATTTGGAGTGTGAGATTATAAAATGTCAGTAGCAACATATACTCTCATATCAAGTTATGACAATATTCAAGCAAAACCAGTTTATCAACAAGCTTGTAGATACGGCATGTTTCAAAATGCAATTCTCAACTTTGCTCATGTAAAGTCAATCATGTACTCCAAGGAATAGCCATGGAAATAAAAAGAATACATAAGAAGCATCAATAAACTTACTTGCAATAATTCACAGAACTAGTAACAGGCCTAACTACTAGAATTAAAGCCATAACTAAAAAGAGAGTATATATTGCTACCTTGTTTCCTAGCATGAGATAATCTTTTCCTTCATCCTAGCTTATTGTCACCCTTACTCCTGCATCTTTACACTCTCAAGAGCAGCCTCTTGTTTTCCTTTTGTTTCTATACCTCTTCTTCACTTTCTTTAAGTTTCTGATTGGCAGAGGAAAAATGAACGAGCAAAGACATGTAAAGCTGATGCGCCCACACACACACACACACACACATTGAAAAAGGGAGTGGTTCGGTATTTTAATTTATAGATTAAACTGATTATAATTTTTAGTTTAAAAAAATTCTCAAATGCTGCCACCTATTTTATCTTTCTTCATAGTAATTCTAGATTCTCGCCACCTAATATAATTTCTTCTTTAGCAGTCTCATCTATTGCCACATAAATCTCTGCTAATCTAAAGTGATGCCACATAAACCTTTTCTAATCTAAAGTGATGCCCCACACACACATATACTCAATTGATTATAAAACCGCTGTGTGTGTATTTAGAAGATAAAATTTGATCAGTGAAGAAATATCAATTTGCCACCCAATCCATTAGGGTAAATCTTAAATGTTGACGCACAATAAATTCCAAGCCTTGAAAATTTGTTTTAGAGCCACGTAATAGATTGAACATTCACTTCAATTCCCATATCATGACATAATCCATTTTGGCTAAATCAAGTCGCATAGCCAAGATGATAAGTTAGTGGGAGAGAGAATTGAGGTGCTTACCACTTACTCTTTCCATACATTTTGGTTCACACACACACACGCATTCTTCTCCTTTCATTTGTATCTTCTCCCTCCTTTTTCCTTGATTACATGCCGCATAACATTCCTTGAGCCATTGTAAACCTTGTTGGCTACCAATAATACATTGCTTTACTAATTCACATGTGTGATTGCAAGATACACACGCACACGCACACGCACACATTCTCACCACTAGTTTAATTCATAATTTGATTCCCAATTTCTCACTAATTCTTATCTTAATATCTTTAATTTCTCCCTTGAATCATAAGTAAACATGGTCTCTTTAATCTTATCTCATCTTGTGTTAATTCTTTTTTTCTCATATAAATGCATGGCAAATTCCAATTACCATGAAATAACCTAATTACATTTAAATAAAGATTAACACCTTTAATTTTTCACTTTCCTTCTTAAAATATTATTTTGATGCCATAAGAATATAATTTGGACTAATTTATTATGATTAAGGTTCTCCCTAATTCACTCGATAATTTAGGATGTCATTTAGTTTAAACCAAGAATCTTTATAATTTAATCCTTGCTTGCTTTGACTTTCTTTTCCTAAATTTTTCTGTATATTCTAGGCATCTTTAAACTTTTATGGATCATAACTTGTGTCCACACTCACTGTAATTTATAATCCAATAAATTATATATAATAAGTGGACATGGGGTAAATTTCCTAAAAATTCCTTAACTATAAGGATTTCTTTATTTTCTCTCTCTTACCTTGAGTACATCGCCTTTGAGTTCCTATCCAATTTGGAAAATAGCATACTAATCAAAACTTCTTGCCTACACCTACAAGCACTCAAGTCTAAATTTCAGGATGTTACAATTCCAAGAGTTGATATTAATGCAGATAGTTTGAATTTTGAACATGTTAAAATTTCTATATTGCTGCCTCTTTTTTCTTTTCAGTGAGAGTTTGGGTGATTGATTTGACACAAATGAGAAGATCAAATGAAAAAGAGAGATCAACAGAGCTAGTGTTGAAATAAGAGTTCATCACTGCATCAGTGTAGTTTATATTTTGGACTTCTGGATTATCAGTAAGACATGAGGCTATTTGAATCAATTAAGTATAAGTTGGTATTGAGACGATGTGAAACCAGATAGAGGGAAGACTATAAGTTTAATTTATAGTTCTTAAATGAATGATCTTAATTTTGCAACAAGTTGTGATAGTTTTTTTTTTTTTTGGTGGTTTAAATTATTTGGATATGAATGTATGAGGTTCATAACATCACTTTAGAAAAGAAGGCTAGCTTATCATCAATGTCTAAATAAATCTCTGGATGCAGGCTGTTGAGATTTCCAAGGTAGACTATGAACCCACCGACATGGATATCATGTATGCTGAAGGGATAGCATTATCTAACAGTCTCACTATGGTGGAATTTTCATTTCCCAAGACAAGTTCTGAGGAATCCTTGGACCCTGAGTATCAGCATGACCCTTCTCTCAGGTAGCTTCTCTTCTTTTATGCAATTTTAGTTGTGATCTATAAATGCTTCAACTTTATTTTGAGATCAAACCTTGTGATCATCTTAGCTTTTGGGTGATGTAGTGAGTCTTATTTTAGTTCAAACCAGGAGCTTTCAGACATCACCCAGGCATGATGATGGATGAAAATAACTTGTCTATAGACAAAAACCCCATTTTAATACTTGAAAGATTGCTGCCACTAATTTAATACTTCATTATACATAAGTAAAACTTCACTATATATGCCATGTTTTTGAGTGCAAAGTATCTGATCGAGATATGCTGTTAGTTAATTTTTTTTTTTTTGGGTGCCCCCTTGCCCTAATACAACTTCACCTGTAGGTACCAACTCATCAGAGTACATCCAAGAGGCCTTGGAGAAAATTGCAAGTGGCTGGAGATGTTTGAAGACATGGATGTTGTCTTGTTCTGTGTCGCCTTAACTGATTATGATGAGTATACTGTAGACAGGAATGGAGTTTCTACCAACAAAATGATGGCAGCCAAGCAACTATTTGAAAACATAATCACTTATCCTTCCTTCACTAACAAGAAATTCCTTTTGATTCTGAACAAATTTGATCTGCTTGAGGAAAAGATTGAACAAATACCTCTAACTCGATGCGAATGGTTTTATGACTTCAATCCAGTGATCAGCAAGAATCAGAACCGAGACAATAATTATACTAATAACCCTCCATTACCTCAGCGAGCCTTTCAATTCATTGCCACCAAGTTTAAGAGGCTTTTCCATTCTCATACAAACAGAAAGCTGTTTGTTTCATTGGTCACCGGGTTGGAACCCGATACTGTTGATGATGCTCTCAGGTATGCAAGAGAAGTTTTGTTATCGGAAAAATGGGATCCTTATATCACAGGTGAGAAGTTTGAGAACACTTCAACATCTTTTGATGAGATTGAGACAACCTCTTGAGGGTTCCTCCAATTCGTCAAGTCTGTATAGGGATGAGTAAAAGAAGAATCAAGAAAAAGATTCAGAAAGTTCTGACCTGCTGTCATGGTGCTACAAAATTCTTTGTACATATCAAGCCATAAAAGATGCAGAACATAAATAAGATCGTCTCTGAATTTGATATGAGGGGACAAAAGATTTTTTTTATAATTTTATTCTCTCTATTCTCACAAGATAAACTGCAACAAATATCCATAGAGAAGTGAACCCCCCCCCCTTTTTTAAAAACCTTTTTCTATTATTTTTCAGTCGTTGTCTGATGAAATTGGTATTTTTTTTTGTTTTTTTTGAAAAATATCTCGATGAGAAAATCCTGTACCACAAAGTAACAATTTCCAAACTTCTTTGAGTCGATGTACCATATCATTGTCAAGTTCTGGCCAATGGAAGAACAAAGTAAACTTCCTCAAAATGCTTGTCCATGTCCTCTCTTGCTCCTCTTTTACTCTGATATGAAGTTTCTGCTACTCATACTCTTAGCAATAAACTTGTGAGACTACGCTCACAGGGTTCAAAAGATATATAAATCTCGTATAACACTGATACGCAGAGTTTGAATTGTCAGCGGTTCAAAAAACATTATAAACTCTAGCTTGTGCTCCCAAATATTTAGCCTAGCCTATTTGCATTTGTCATGGTAAAATGAGGGTTAAATTATATTTTTTAAGAGATGCCTAAACTCTAAATTTTATATTTTTTTTCCTTAAAATATACAAACCAATTCAACACTTTTTTTTTTTTAATAAATGAGTATAACATAGTTTTTAATGTCAGAAGGAGAGTATAAATTGAACGATTTTGAAATGTGGTTGATGCAGCCAAATTTAACATACGGTTTTGCCAGATTCCACTTGTAAGGAAAGACATCAAACAGCCAATGTGGCTTTCTGTGTTAAGACGTGGCAATTTGTCTCTCACAAACAACGGAGGGTTTTTTTTTTTTTTTTTTTGGTTTGATTGTTTAATGGCAAACTTACTTATCCCAACCAAAAAAGTAACAAGGAAAGAAAGAAGGCCGGCCGGCCAAAACCTTATAGCATTTAGAATTTGGAATTTCTATTGTTAGATTTAGATGTTCCTATTGGAGAGTCTCCATCATGACTAGATTTTCTGTCTCATTAGAAGGCTCGGATTTTTCAGGCTCGAGCAAGAAATAGTTAAGCACAGTTTATGCATAATTTTTTTTAATTTTCCTTTTTTTTTTAGTAATTCGATCAATTAAGTTCAGACGAGACTCTGTGGCTTCTATTACCTTTCGCCACGGGAGCGACCGTGTTCTGTCAAATTGTTCTTGGATACTTAATCAAGATTATAAGAATTTGATCAAATTTTCCAAATGCTTACCCTGTTTCTGACAAAACACGACACACACAAACTTTCGTTTTCAAGGAATCAATCCCGCAACATCGAACTCCAAAAAAATTAAGAACCGTGTCAAGTTGGGATAAGCAAAAAGACACCCAAGTTTTCTGTTAATCGCCTGCAAAATTTCGAAGAGTCCAGAAACGAATCAGAGAGACAGAGATGACGCAGGTGATGAGGAACATATACCCAAGTGACTCTGACAGGACCATACAACTTACATTAATTTCACAGAAACTTGGTACTAATTACACTTTCCTGGATCTAACCAAATAAACTGATAGACATGCATACATATAAACACAGAATGTCTAGAAAGACACGAGTATATCAGCAAGGAGCAAAGCGATCCATGAGCAGGGAGACAGTGGATTCTGACATCTCGACGGGTGGCGTATTCTTGAGAATGGTTTGGTTTCGAGGAGATTGAGGAGATCGTGAAGATGATTCCTTGGATTTGGAGGAGGACGAGGTGGGGTTGGAGTTGGGAGAAAGCAGCTTGTCTCTGAGCTTTGAGAGCTCTCCCACACACATCTCAACCATAGCCGACATATTCAGATGCCCTAAAGCAACAAAAAGATGCCTTTTTTCTTCCTTTCACTGCACTTTCGAGTTTGGAGCTTGAAATGAGCCTCTGCGACGGGACACCTGCTTTATATAGACAAAGCCACCCCAAAAAAGCGCGTTCATTTGATTCCAGCGGCTCCAGTAATTATTCTTAATAAATTTGAGTCAGGGCTCCATTAACTGACATAACAGAAATTTTCATAAACAGAATTAGTTTGTTAATATTATAGAAATTGACATAAAATGAACATCTTTTCTTTGAATTTTAATTAGCGATGGTGTGACTGTGAGAGATCAATTTTTTTTTGGCTAGGCCCAGCTCTTGTTTGCTGTCATTTTTAATTTACAAGATTTATTCTTGAGAGAATGGCAACCAATTAACTCAAAGAAAGTTCAAAGTACTAAACTTTAAAAATTTATAATTTAAATTATTAATTTTATAATTTCATTACAATTAATTTATAATTTATATTTTAAATTTAAAAAAAAATTACTTATTTTTTATTCATGTTAAAATTTAAAATATGAGTTGTAAATTTATTACAATAAAATTATAAAAATGAGAATTAAATTTATAAATTTTTAAAATTTAACATTTTAAAATTTAATTTAAATTAATTAATCACTTTAAGATCTATTTGTCATTCTTTATTTTTTTAATAATACTTACATGAGTAAGTGGAAAAGGCAGGATTAGGAAAATTCCGCCGAGGGGAGAGAGGGAGTGGGGATAGAGGTGCCACATAAGGAAGAGGTATGCTCTCACACACAGTTTCGTGTATTCGTTGGGCAATTTCTATTGGCTGCTATATAATGTTGTCTCTTTTTTATATTGAAATCCGGAATTCCATCCTCTTCATACGGCACTCGATACATTTTAAAGTACATTAAAAAATCATTTTATTAACTCCTTTGTTAACAAGTTTATTAATTAAAAGAATATGAATATTAGAAATAATTACATTGCTTTACTCCTAGAAATTTGTTCTAGATGTCAATTTCATCTTTTAATTTAAATTTAATATTTATCAATAAGTTCTTAAAATGTTATACTCATGTATAATTACACCACATGTGTGTTTAGATTATATGTCTTTAACTTAACGTAAACGTTAAGAATCGAACATTTTGGTTACTTCCCTGACTTGAGCTTCTTCTTCTCTTCTTTTGGGTGGTTTTTTTTTTTTTACAACAATATACAATATATTAAAGGGAGGGAGTGTATAAGTTTTTTATTTATATTATTTTATTATCATATATTAATATTATATCTATTGAATATAGAAAGATCTAAATACTTTGTTATCGATTTGGTTAAAAAAAGAAGAACTTGTTTTTTTTTTCAATAAAAAAAAAGGAACTTGTTTCAGTGATTGAGAATTTGAGATGTATGAGTGTTTTGATAATCAAGGGAAAGGATAAGATAATCACACAGAAGTTTCTATCCATTTACTGTATTCTCTTATTATAGTTGGAGTTTATTTATTCTTTTACGTTACCAGTTTGAAGACTCAGAACATCACACTTAAGACTTTTGCAAGATAAATTAAAGTATTTAATTTTTACAACATCGTAGTTTTAAGAATGATCCAAAATATCAGCTAATCATTAGTTTTTTTCCTAATTGTATTATCTAGGGGTATATATGAATATTGTGAGAATACTTTAAATTGATCATTTTTAAAAATACTAACAGTAATTGAAAAATAAACATAAATAATTATTCTCAAAATACGAATATAATAACTTTAATCAATTACGCTTCCAGCTTGACATAAATTATATGGTATTTAAATGTCATTAATATTTTATTAGCATCTAGGTGTCATTTCTCATTGCAGATTTCACGGACACTTTAGTTGTTCCGCCGTTTTTCAGGTTTTAAGGAATTTTTTTCATGATTTTCTTTCACAATGAGATTTGTATATTATTAAGTTCATACACTTGAAAATTACATTCAGAGTGTATTCAAATCTGATCTGATGACAATGCCAAGAAACTTCACACAAAAAGAATTGTTAGCACATTGAATTAGTTAAAAATTATTGAAATGTTAAAAATTAATTTAAAATAACGCCTTTCGGTTTGTATTTAGCTTTAATTAGCAGCATGAATATAATTTAATTTATTTGATAAAAATAAAATATTGATTATGGATTATTATACAAGCATAGAACTCTGGAAGCAATTACTTTCAAATGTTTTAGCTTTTGGTGAGGTAATTAATTTCCTTTCATGCACCAAACAATGCGTATTGAAAAAGAAATATGTTTGCTTGGTATATATATATATATATATATATGTATATATTATAGAAATATAATTTTAATATCTTTTATATTGTAAAGTTTGTTATTTTCGTTATTATTCATTTACAGTGGAATGAAACAGCAACAAAAACCTTTTTCTTTTTCAAATTTTTTTTTGTTTAATTTAAAGATCATGTGGGACGTATAGTAAAAAAAAAAGTTTGTACATAGTGAATGTGAGATTCATGTTAAAAATGTTAGATAGAAAACAATATATGTTAGTATTTGTATTTTGCATATATATATATATATAGATAATAAATTGTAGACAACAATTAGAACTAATATCTTCAAATAATAAATTATCTTTATTTTCATATGCATAGAGTAAAAAATTATAATTATGAATTATCTATATACTCTATTAAACTTCATATATTGTAAAGTTTAATGGGATTTATTGTTCATCAAGGTTTTTTGAAGAGCAACCCCATTAAACTTTAATAATAATAATAATAAATGTTAGAGTTGCAAGAAAGAAAATGTGAGGGTTGATATGTAATAATGATATTATAAAATTTAAATTTACAGAATTATAAAAAATATGTGTGTATAATTTAATGGATATTTTTATTGGGATAAATAAGCATATTACCCCTTGACTTTAAATTCAGTAGTACCATAGACTCTAAACTCATCTATTGTGAAAATATGATTTTAACCAATTATTATTTTACAATCTTGTTCAATATTAATTTTTTTATATGATACTTATTTGTAATTTTATAAATCATTTTTTATAATTTTTATGTCATTTTTTATAATTTTTCAGTTAACTAATGATCAAAAATGATTGGGTGCTCAATGCTCCACTTTGAAAAGTTGAAAGAGAAAATTTTACTGTATAAAAATTTAGGATATCAAGTATTCTAAAGCAAATAGTTAAGGAATAAAAATACTTTTCAACTTTTATATAAATTAATAAAATATGATATTTTAAGTACACAAAAATAAATTATTTTTTAATTTATATATTTTGTTTTGTTTTTTTAAGTATTAAAATATCCCTGGAGATGGAATAAATCTAGTTCTTTAAAAAGCATAAACAAACACAAATATCTAAGAAAACCAGGGGCTGCTGCGAATTTTAGGCAAAACGAAAGAAATGTGCCTTCGGAATAATTTTGTAGGTTACGACAAGTCCATATATAAAGACAATTTCTTATAATGGAAGAGAGAGAGAGAGAGAGAGAGAGTGAATGAGAAAAGAAGAAGATGAAGGAAGAAAAGTGTATTTGTGTGGACTGTAATATCAACAATGGAGAATTACATTCAAAAATTATTTAAAAAATTTATTTATAAATAAAAATTAATAATAAGTTCTATTAAAAAAAGTAACGTTTTAATTTTAACAATGATCTATTTTATATTAATTTTTATTTATAAAATAATTTTTGAATGTGATTCTCTTTGTTAACAGTGTGAAATTGAAAGCTTGTCTCGAACTCAGCCACTAGATCATTTCAAGTAATTTCAGAGAAAGTTCAAAAAGAAAAAAAAATTGTAGACTGTCAATCAAATAGGGCTCTTGGAAAACTCAAAAACAAAATTAATTCTTTGAGGGTAAGTTAATCTAGTTAACAAGGATACAAATTTATAATTTTTAAATTTCGTTATTAATATATAATTTTTATTGATAAACTTTTTTTAAAAAAAAGTCAGTTAAATATCTCAAAAAATATATTTTATATTTTTTATAAAATAAAAATAATTAATTTTAAAGTAAAAATTGATTTAAAATTAATTTTAAAATTAAAAAATTTGAAAATTTGAATATTCGGTCAAGTTTTGGATTAGGTTTAACCATTAGAGCTATTCAAAAAGTTTGAGTCTATCGGGGTTGAATTACCGGCTTTAGATGTGAAGTTTGTTACAAATTTGATGAATTTATGAAACCCAACCCACATAGACTTTTCTTTCAATATTGACAATTTGAGATTATTTAGAACATTCAATCTTATATATGCGAGTTGTATTTTTGAACATTTCATGAGATGCATTGGTGACAAAAGTCCAGAACTGAATTTGTCCCCAAAGACAAATTGTGCGTTCCCAGCTGTTTCTTTGAGAACCCGGTTTTGCTTTCTCGTGAGCCACTGTTTGAAATTTCAAAGTCTGACGAAGGATAAGAATAATATCTGGAAGAATCAGCCAAAAAGATGTAGAATACAAAGTAAAGTTTAATTTCAAAGACGTAGAATAATTTTCAGTTCATGAATTTAAATTGTATTCTCAATGTGAGGAATACGTTAGTATTTTTATAAACACTTTTTAAATTTTAAAGTATGTTTGATTTTAGTGAGCTTTTGAGATTTAACTCATCTATTTTTTTATAAAAAATAATGTTTAAAGATAAAATTAGTATTATAAATTTTTATAAGCAAGTTCTTTAAATTTTAAAAGATAATGAAATGTAAATTTTAGCTTCTTGGAGTTGTAAATGTTCTTTTAAAACCAATCATACTTGAGTCAACTAGAAAGAATATCATTTTTCTCAAGCAAATGGGAGAGTTAAAAATCATGGTAAGCGAACTACCTTTAATTGGAGGTAAAATACTCCAAATTTGAATATTGGATATAAAAAATATTTTTTTTTAATTGTATGGTTTAAAAAGGTTTTTTTTTTGTTAAAGCTTTTTGGAATTTCATATTTTTATTGTAATAATACTTGAATTACTTTGTTAAGTTTTAAAGTTCGTGTTGATTTTGTAATATTTTCTTTTCTTTTCTATGGTGAACTTCTAGTTGTCTAACTCTATATAACATTTTAATTTAATCTTTTATTTTTATAAAATGTCTTTTAGTTTTCTAATTCTTGTAAAGTTAATTTTATTAATTAAAAATGTGAAATGTTGACAAAACTAGTCTCAAATGATATTTTAATTCAATCATTTTTTATTTTCTCAAATCAAAACTAGTATCTCAACATTTAAAGATGCTTTATTAGATTTTAAATTTTAATATCAACATTTTCTATCAATAAAGCTAATGATATGAATGGTTAGAATTGAAAATATATGAGAACCAACGTTAAAACTTTATAATTAAATGTACTTTTGCCTCTTTGATTTTGTTGAAGTTGTCTTAGTAATATATTAAACTTCAATTCAGAAGGAAAAATATTACTTTCTTGAAAAAAATCGCTCCAGCATGTATTTGCATCTTTTTGAGTATTCCTAATCCCGTGCCATAATTAAGATCATTTGAATTCCCCACAATTAATTATGCCGTAGTGACTAGTGATACAACATTTATCAACATTAGATCCAAAATCACTCCATACAAATATCTCAAATCACAATCACACCTTCTCAAATTAGCACTACCACAATGAATCCTTTAATTAGGGTGGTCAAGCTTAACAATGATAACTTAATTATTTAAGTTTAGCTTAAGAGAAGAGGAATTATATCGTATCAGAAAGAATTCCATCTAACCATACAATTTCAGCCAGCTAGATAGATGTAGACCAAAAAGTAGAGCTAATTACCTAATGAATAACACTCACCATTCGGGAATGGATTGATATTATGTTGAACACGTGTGACTTCTTAAGTGATCTTTATCTTCAAGGTCACCAGAAAAAAAATGGTGCGAATCAGCTGCAGAGTCCATGGTTTGGCGTTCTTATTTTAAAGCAAGAAACATACTTCAAAAAAGTAAAGGGAAAAATTGGATTGAGTTTATATGATAAACACGTCTGAATCTTTCCTTTTTGTTTTTAAGAAGACGTTTTTAAAAAATTAAACAAGCCAAGAGAACTCACTTGAGAAATCTATCCACAGTCCACACTACAACTTTAACCATATAGATATTTATATTTTATCATACAAAAATGCAGAACAATATCTGCACCTACACTCATTTTCATGTTCCAACCTTTGAAATCAAATTCAGAGAGAGAGAGAGAGAGATGTGAACATATGATACAGAAATCTGCAGTCAAGCAGACGTGACATGAAAGAGATTGTTGTTTTGGGCAAATTCAAGGGCTAAAACAAGAAACGAGCAGGGAAACAGCATCCTCAGAAAAGAGCAACCTAGGCTTGTTAAGGTGGCTGAATTCGCCAACAGCCACAGCCAAACCAATAGATCCCATCTTCTGCTTCTGTTGTTGTTGATCAGCCTCCACGTGGGCGGAGCCATGAGGAGCAGATATGGCCTCATCCTTCTCCTTCAGCTTCGATACCTCGTTGGTCCACCTATCAGTCAGACCAGACATGCTGGTATGGGATTATACACACTGCAGTTGAGGAAGATGCTTTCACTCTGTTCTCTCGTGCCACTATTGGGTTACAGTGAGCTGATCATTGTGGAGCAAAATATCCAGCGTTTAGGTTTTTATTATGGGAGATGATGGGGAGGTCGGTAATGTGGATAAGGGAAGAGTGGGGCCCCGCATGTCTGTGTGTTTTTGAAATCATGGCAGCGAACAGGAACTGATATAATCTTATGACAGGACTTTAGTGATCTCTATCTTCAAACTCAATACTCAAATGAGGTGTAAACCAGCTGCCGAGACCATGGTTTGGTTTGGTGTTCTTATCTTGTTAAATAAAAAAATGCATATAAGAATCCAAAATTTAAAAAGAAAGTGTTTAAAAAGTCTATGTGATGAAGACTTGATAACAAAAGATGCTAACACTTCATTTGAAGTATTTAAATGGATTGATTATTCCCTCTTATTCTTACTTAGGCATTCATCATCACACTTGCGCTTCTTTTTTGAGATAAAAGTCAAATTTTATTAAACATAAAACATAAAACATAAAAAAACCCTAGAAAATTAAATTGCAATTTACTATGAATTAATTTTAGCATTTTACAAATCGCAGGATCTGCATCAAATTACAAATTTAAATATATTTAATATAGATATAAATTTTTTCAATTAAGAATAATCATTATATTAAAAAAAATTCCCCCAATTTTTTATATTTGTTCATAGATCACTATACTAACAAAGTACAATCAAACAATACAACCGTTAAGTTTGAAGCAACTCGACAATAACAAGTTGATTGTTTAATTGTTATAAGTGAACACTGATATAGAATAGTTCCTTTTATTCATAAAAATCCCAACGATTGTCACTAGCACATACACTAATATAGTCTGGTACCATTAACCAAAGGACAAATTTCATATGCACGGGTGCAACGAGAAATTTCTAGTGTACATAGAAAACAGAGTGAGATTAACTTCCAGCAGCAATGAAACGAAAATAGAGGCAGAAAATCAGATATATGATTACATTTCTCAAAGGGAGATTAACTGCCAAATCCAGTCTTGACCAAGATTGGCGTCCGATTATAGAAATCAATGAACAGCTGATTTCTATAACCTCTCTCCCGATGAAGGTCATGTGAATATGCATCTGATGCTCAGCTGTAGATTTCCAAGATATACATTGATCCGGCAAGAAAAGGCGCACTGGATCACACCCAGGTCTTCTGAGAACTCAACCCTTCCCGTACCATAAGCATTTCATCAGGAACGTAATGTTCAAAACATGCCCCTTCAAATTGACATGGATGCAAGGAATGAGGGACAAATCAGTAGCATATAGATTGAACCTGTGACGGTGAGGGCATGCCAATCCTTTTTCATCTTCCACTAATTCAGCTTCAAGCTTTGGATTTTTCAGCAGCATGTCCTGAGATAATGCACGTCAAATCATATGCACTGTCTGTACTTACAAGTCTGCCTACGTAACATTGAAATTGAATGGATGGCAGAAGCTGGACATACAGTTAGGCTGTGGATAAAGCAGTGACTGTGATCATTGGCGGCAGGCTACTACTGGATATGGCCAGGCCAGAGGGGCCTGATAAGCCGTGGCTTCAATACCACACGCAAGAGACCAGACCAAAGGATCTATTCCCCGCCATAAACAAACCAAACAAAGCCTGAGGTCACTCCTTGCATGATATAGGGACGGTGCTTAAGCAAGATGCTCAAGTCACAGAGCGTTCAAATCCATGGTGTCCAGCCTTCGTACATGTTGCAAAGATTATCTACACTAGTAGCTTGCTTCAGCAGATAATCCACTTGCTCCGCAATACTAATTTCTCTGGAATAAAAAGAAGAATTACTCAGTATCAATGATAAATTCCAGGCAGATTTCTTCAAGTTCCAAAACTAAGAATACCTGTTTTCAGAAATATCTCGACCTTCTATCTTCATCTCAACTCGCTTCAACACTGACAATGCATATGCATTTTTACCTAGCAGTTTAGCACAAAAAACAAACAACAATGAAGCATCAATTGAATGCTGAACAGTAAATGGCCAAGATATAAGGAAGGACTTGTGAGTCTCAATTGTAAAGACGTCTTCTTGCTCCCATCTCAGTGAGGTGAGGGACGAATGACGAAACCTAAGAGTTGAGAATGTGTCAGCGGTGACACTGATCTACACAGCTGTGGCCTTTACAAATAAGAATCTGTACAAGATATACGACAGCTTTGCACACACTAGGATACCCATCATGTTCATGCCAAGAAATAACTGTCAAACTCAGTCATAACTTGTTTCCACACCCATCCTAGCACTGTAAAACATAAGCCACTATAATAACGTAAAATGTAGCTTTCAAATGTCAAAAGTGACATTAAAGTTCAGGAGAATTTGGAACCTCAAGGTAAATACATTTTCAGCTTACCATGAAGGCTAGATATGATAGTAGTTCAGGAGTTAGATGAAATAAAAGTAAAAATCATGGACTTGATATGTACCTCTTCCCACTCGAGTGCTGGTATTTGAGTTAGGATCCAAAGCTTCATGATGTTCAGTATCATTCTTATCTTTCTTTGAGGAGACTGGTTCGGCTTCACCCTCAGACTTTTCTACGTTCTCATATAGAGTATTCTGGGTATTAGCAGGGATGGACACAGATTTATCAAATGGCAAAGCAGAACCATCAGCGTGAAAAATGGAAGCAGAATTTGAGATTTCTTCATTGGCATTAGGCTCCATGGATTTGAATTCTGAAAGCTTAGAAGATGAGATTTCTTCACTGTCAGTGTGAGAAATTGGAGCAGAATGTATGTGATCAGTGTCATTTCTACTATTAGAGCTTTGGGAAAGCAGTTCTTCATTTTCTGTTGAATCATTTAAGCTATCTGGGAAACTAGCTTCAGTTGAAGGAACGCCAGATCCAGAGCTGCTACAGTAGATGCTATCAGGCGGAGATATCCATCCTTTATCTTCCAATGAAAGATGAGAAAATCCAATAACATCTTCATTAACCCCATCATCAGATTTGGAGAGACTCTCCCCTTCCTTGCCATCGAACTCAGCAGCATCACCACCAGCTGGATCTGATCTTGAGAGAGCAACATCCTGGGATTTTGCTTCCTGGCTCTCTCCTATTCCTTCAAGAGCCTGACAGGCAAAGCGTAAACAGGGGGAAAAAAAACCAACAAAGGCAATTGAGCAGGAGCATGTTTGTGCAGAAAATCCTGCATCCTAGTTAAAATTTTATATTAATACAAAATATATTAGGAAAACAAGATTTTGGAAATGTTGCATTACTTTATGAAGATTTCCAGCATGGAGACTTGCTGTTCTTGCTAGCCTAGTCAACATGGAACAGAGTCCCTTCACAGCTGATGTCAGAGATGGTACTAAGGGCTTAAAGGTCTGGTACGCCTCTCTGATTCTTAAGCAATAAGACTGGTATATAGCCTGTCCATGAATATGCGATATTTCCTTCTTGGTCTCTCTTTCCCTGGCAATAGCATCAGTCATAGCAGCTACATCCTTAGACAGCACGGAATCAAGTGGAAGGAGGATAGAATTTGCCTACCAAAACATGAAGCGACCACAATACAATTTTGATTTTAGGGAAGATAAATGTGTTAATGTAACCAATATACCATTATAGTTGAAAATATAAACTCAGAAACAAGAGAAACCTTCGATAGGTCTTCCATAAGAGACAGGTGAATAGCCGCAGCCTCCTTTCCCAGATTGTAAACATCATGTACGTCTTCAGTTATTGCTAGAACCTTAAAAACCAAAGTAACAAACTCATTTTTAGACCGGAGGTAAGCTATTGTAGAAAATTTTATACCTTTGTCAAAACTCAACAAATATACAATGACAATTACATAAAAATTCTCACTACTATGTCAGGTCTCCGGGTTCAACTTAGCCAAGCAAAGCACTTCACCTAGATGCATATTTTCAAAAGAGATTAACTTGGAAACCCCATAATAGTATCAATACTAACTCTCTTATGGCCTTATGAACCTAGAGACTGAAAACAACATAATTAAATATGAATCTTCTCCAACTATGCATGCATGCATGTACGAATGTATGCAAAGCAATCCACATGTATATCACATGTTTACTTTAGGGTGTCAACTTAGTACCGTTACATGTTTCAGCTGCATGAGCGTGAGTGACTTGAAAAAAAAGCAAATTGGGAAACCTCACCGTCAACAAAATAGTTCTTCATATGCTATACTTGATGAGAACAATTTGAATTAGATTTCAAATATAAATGATAATAAATTAATAATGGACAATTCTAAGTCATAGCTCTGGAATAATACAGAAGAACTTAAAATCAGACATCCTGGAAACCTAGGGACTGACTGACATTTGAAATCAAGCCAATACATTTAACATGAGATAACTTCTAAAATATTAATAGAGTCCCAAGTGTTCCAAAACCCCTGCCTCCATCAACAATATAGAGCCTTATTGTGACTTACCTCCATGAGTTTCTATAAATAATCTGGAATAAAGTTTGAAAGTATACTTCTCATTAATATATATAACATCTTTAACTACAATACCTCTTCAAGCATAGAACCACACTCTGAGGTCAAAGCTGTATGGATCCTTGAAATCCGAGCAAAAGCACTCAGTGCACCAATAGCCTCATAAGCACAATCCCGCATTAAAAGAACAGTGCTTTGTAGATCACCTTGAAAATAAAAAGAACAAATTAAAGCAACACATATAGCCACTATAATAACATTATCACTCGAAAAGAAAACTTGCATATGCATGTATGATTCATAATTAATGGAGTACGGTCATGTAAAAATAATTTTAAGAAGTTGTCCATATTTGACGTGAGTCGAACACTCATCAAATATGACATGTCTTTTCATGCTTAGGATTGATATTAGTGTCCGTGCCTCAAGGTTTTGACATATCAAGAAACAAAACTCCTCAAAAGACTTGAAAACGCCCAGAAATGGGTTTTACTATTGTCTCTAACATTCGAATGACACTGAAGCTCTTCGGACAAGAAGCACAGGACACATGCCTACAGTGCCTCATGCAAAAAATGTAATTTGAATTAGTATAACAAGGTCAATACAGCTCATGATCACTTGGTTGAGGAAACTCGGAAACTTAAACAATACTATTACTTCCCAAAAAAGCCTAAACTGCCAAGAAATGACCCAACTCTACTGGTTTCCCCCCTCTCAACTACTAATATAATGCAATGAATAGTTTGAAAAGAGGGCATCTTACCAGAAGCTGACTTCGCTTTCAGAGAAGCAATACAGAGTTCATTAGTTGCTGCATATAATCCATTGGAAGCAGCTTCAACAGTGCTTTGTGCAAGCTTCCATTCTTGCTCGGTACCTAGTACAGGAAAAAAAGCATAATTTCATTTTCCATATGGGTGTTTAACTGAAATTAAGAGACTCTAATTGTCAAGGAATATTGTAAGCGTAAACTCACGTGTATAAGAATGATAAGTTACATCCAATCTTGTTAGTGCATTCAAGTATGCTTGCTGCCATGTCTTGCCATCAACACTAGTCCTGAGAGGATAAGGCTGGCTGGGGATAAGCAAATATCCATCTCTTGATGCTTCAAACTCTAGCACTGACATGCAAAACTTCACAATGTCAGATGCCTTTTCTCTAAATTCCCATAATATATGCCTCCGCATCTTAATATGCTCATGGAATTCAGGAGGAATTCCTAAACTTTTGTTTGAAGCAGTTCCAGAAGTGCCAGAACTCGGACCTGCACAAGCCCAACTCATAGCTCTCTCAAGCTGCCCTTCAGCCACAAGAGAATTTCGCTCACAGGATTGAAGGCCATCCATTGACCTGGTGATTTTTGACACAGCAGATTGTATATTTTCCAATAATTTAGATCTGCTGAGGTTTAAAATAATCATATTTAAGCTGTCATTGCTATCAATGTGTTTCTCAAACCTGACTCTTCTGCTATATGATTGGCTCATGCTCACATCATGCATCCATTCAATCTGAACAATCTCAAGGGTTGTTTTCCTAAGAGCATCTTTCAACTCATTTACTTGTCTATTCATGAGGGAAGCAGCTGACTTTGCTGCTCTAGCAGTTTCATGAGCATTACAGTATTCTTCGAGCATAAGTAAAACTTTTCTCACAACCCCATCTCTTTTCAACTCATCTAAAACAATTTCCTTAGTTGCCTCCGTTAATTGCTTCAAGCTCTCAATTTCTTTATCCAAACAAGCCAAAAAGCTAGGAGCAACTCTTTCTTTTAAGTACTTATTGACATGTTTCTGTAGCTGGATCTCAAGCTTTTTCTTAACAAAATTGAGTGACTGGTCAAAGCCTAGGTTTTGCTCAACAGATGAAGCAACATCACGTATACATGCATCAAGAAAGGAATCTATCACACCTATTTTCCAAATAAAGAATGAATGACCATCCAACAAACCACTGACTTTCCAGACACATTCACATATTGGATTCCCAGAATTTATCAAATCTGCTAGAGCCTGAAATTCACTTGAGTTGATTGCAGAACCATCAGCTGAATACAACATACTATCACAGGATTCCAATTGCAAGAACGGCTTCACTAGTGTGGCCAATAGTGCTTTTCTTCTTAAAATATGTGGCTCTCTTTGTTCTTCAGGAAAGACAAGTGATTGGAAATGACTCTCCACAGAAAAAAGAGCATTTTTAATATCAGCTTCTCTCTTTATAAGCGAAGAAATCCTCAGATCCCTCTGATTCCATGTTTGATGGAGTTGATCAAGCTGTGCTCTACAAGCTTCCTCTTGGGATGCAAGTTCCTCTGCCTCTTCCCAAGAAAGATGATCTCTGCCCTTGACTGCAGCTTCTTCAAGAGCAAGCTGCTGCTCAGTAATAAGACCAACCTTAACAAAATAGTTCTGCTCAAGTTCAACCAGTGATACTCTCTCCATTTCAACCTCCACAAGCTGCTCCAGTGCAGTATCTATGGACCCTCGAACTTGTGAGATTAACCCAAATGCATCCATAACTTCTGAATGTAATGAAACAGCAGACCGTATTACATCAGGTAGAACAATTTCAGTCATTTGACTAACCAACCCATTACAGGAAGACAAAATGGTTTTGAAAATAGAAACCCAATTGCTTTCAGAAGGGAATTTAGATTTACTTTTATTGAACTGAACAGTATGAATGTCCTTCCCAATCATTTTCCATAGATCACTCACAAACTCTGTCACAAGATTACATTGTTCTACTTGCACTTCGAACTCTGTGAAAATAGCACTAGAATCATTTAGCAATACATTATGTTCGTTACTTATGTTAAGTACTCTATTCTTGACCTCATTATAAAGCAAGCTTACAGCAATGTTAAGAATTGATAATGCTTTTTCCTTCTTCTCTTCCAGGTCACCAGGCAGTCTAGTATTGTTTGTTTCATCTTGTCTAGATTGGACTGGCGATGTACCATCTTCCTTTCTTAAGAAACCACTTGACTGCATAAATTTCATAAAAGCTGACAAAATTCGATCTTTAGCCTTTACTTCTGAATCTAAGCCTATGGTACTCTCTAGTTCTGCACGCTCTTCTTCTAATTTCTCTATTTCTACAGCATGTTTATCCACTTTAAGACAAAGATCATCATGTCTGAATTTTATAGAACCGATGCTATCTCCATGAAATTTTGCTACAAGATCAGATGCCTGCCTCCTGGCAACAGAAAGAATTTCAGAGGACAGGGCATTGATTGATAGTTGCAGAATTTGAGCCCACCCATGAACTGCACTGGTTGTAAGGTAATTTAAGGGTAAGATTCTTTGCAGAGCCAAGGAATATGCTTGCAGCGCAGTGATGGCAGAAGCAAGTCCATTATCTAACTCAGACACAAGTTGAGAAATTTCCCTATCTATATCATTGCATTGTGTCTGTGTTGGCTCAGGAACAACAGTTAGAGGGACACCAGCCACAATGACTGCAGATGTAAGAGACAAAGCTTCTTCCATGTTATTCAGCTTATAAGAAGCATTTACTTCTGGGATTATATTGCATTGCAAAGCATCAAGAATCCTTCCATGTTGCTCAACCCAAGTTGTTGCCTCATGAGCTTTCTCTGTAACCATAGCCTTTGCTTGGGCAAATTCCCGAGCCTGTATTTCAAATGAAGCTCGGATTTTCTCTGATTTACTGGTTGCTTCGGCAACAATTGACTTAGCAGATGTCTCATGCAGAGTAAGGTTAGATCTGTCTTGGTCAGCTCGATGAAATTGAGTAGAGGCAAGCTCATATTGATTTAGAACATTGGTGAACCTCTGTACATAAATTTTCAAAGTCAAATTAACACAAAATACTTACTGATCGAGATCTACATAAAGTTAAGCTTCAAGTGTAGTTAAGAATGTAGTGAAACTTTATCAATACCTCAAGAGCAGATTCAACAGCTGGGAGGCTAGTCAATAATTGATCATGGTGTTCCTATTCAAAGATTAAGGGGAAAAAACCATATGTCAGGTGCATCTCAAGAAAGCATGGCTGGTTGTTTGAAAAGATGCAAGATAATCAGCTTCAGTCAATGTTTCATTTTCAAGCACAAAAGGATCGCATGAATAAATAGAATGAATCAAGCACCTCAGGATAGCACCTGAAAGAAATTCTAAATATCACATGTAAGATAGATACTAACTATCATCTACACATATACATTGATGCACACGTTTGTTGGTTATTCCAAAGCACCTCCAACCCAAGCATCAACTACTTGGACTAGAAAAGATTGGAATGGAGGGTAAAAGATATAACAAACATTTTCTTCCTAGACAAAAATGCATATGCAACTTTTATCTCTTAGTTGGATAAATACCTGTAAGGGAACACGAATTTCCTGCACTCGAGATGCAAATAGACTCAAGCTAACAGCTAATTCCATGCCTTTTCTTTCTTCACCACCAATAGCAGCGTCATCATGAAAATCACCCCGTGTCCACTCTACAAGTGGATCCCAAACAAACACTTCCAGCAACATCAAAAGTATGTCTTTGTTCTTCCTTAAAATGCCAATAACTGTCTCACAGTTTGCTCTGAAACTACCTTCTATTCCAGTCAGCCCTAAAGCTGTTTCAATCATCTGTGTAAGACGGAAAGGAACAATCTCTGGAACTTTTAATCTTTGTCCTTTATCAAAACAAACATTATAATCAATATGTACAATACTCCCACTGCCAAAATCAATAAGGATGTTATCCAAATGCCTGTCACCCAGACCCAGAATATGTCCAACCATGCTCATTGCAGCTACACTTCCAGAATACCTACAACTTAAAAAAAATATCTATAAGCGCAACTGTACATGATTTCCTTTATATGTCGCAAAATTTTATTGAAGGCACATGCCAGCCAAGGATGAGTTTGGAAACACATTGTAAGAGAATGGCCAATAAATAGAAATACCATTATTTATTTGATATCTAAAGAGAAACAAGATCACGGTCAACTCCAACTAAAGTCTGACTTAAAGCATCGACCCACTAATTTTCAGGTGTCAGACATGGACACTGGCATGACATGCATCTATCATGTGCTTTGTGAGGACATGTCACAACCAAAAAGTTACCTTTTTAGCTCGAACAAGTTGATCCCGGAAAAAAAAGGGTACACAGTTTTTTTAAAAGAAAGAAAAAGGATAGGATGAGATGCTTCAATACCCCATATTGATAAGATATAAAATGTCTTCCCAAATGGTTTGTGCTGTACATGAAAGTTCCACATATACATATATATATATATATATATGCATGCGAGCACTTGCAGGGCCTTAGCCCAGTGAAAGGTCTGCCTAAAATAATTTGGCATCTGTTTATAAAGTAGATTTTTAAAAACTGTGCAAAATGTTCAAAATAGGATAGTGCTGGTTGTGGTTGTTTCTTTGAAAATAGGTTGCTAAATGGAAAGGCTAAAAAAATAGGATTTGAATATGACCCATACATGGTGTATATATAATGTCTATTTTTTCTATGTTCAATGTCTCTGTCCATGTCACCACACTTCATAATTTACTGAACATTTGACATCCATCATAAGCAGAGATTGACATCTATGATTTTTGGATTAGAAGGTAATTTAAATCCCAAGTTTAAAAGTGGTGAAATCATGCGTTACAAAATCTAGATCCATAACAAAGGAAAGGACTCAGCTATTGTATGTATTGTGATGCAACCATAAAATTCATTGGTAAAGACTTCAAGATTACTTGAATCTACCTCTTCATTTTTGAGCTGAAGGCTTTATATCCTTCACTAGCGCACCATAATTCTTGGTGCAGAAGATGCTGCGGCACCTCCTTCATGAGATCAAGTAGAACTTTACGTTTGACTTCATGAGGCCAATCTCTTCGAGAAATTACCCTTTTGATGCCTTTCTCTTTAAGTGCTGGTATGATCTTCCCATAAAACATATCACTGGGCCGAGGAACAGGTGGAGGAGCAGAGGGTTTTGCATTCACAGTGCCCACTGTTGCAAGTTGTGCTAGCTGGACACGGCTTTGCCAAGATTTAAATACACTGTATATACTTATCACATTATCCACCCATTGGATAAGCCCTGCCCGGCCACTTATTGGAGTGACAGAATAATAGCGAATGCCAAGTGAGTTACCATGGGTAGAAGAAGAATGCAGAAAACCATTTATAGCCTGCAGCAATTGCATTATTCTAGCATCAAGGCGCAGATCTTCTCGCCCTTTAAGGAGATATGTGTATGTCTGACCATCTGAGCCCAATATAACAACTTTTTTAGGCTTAGTTTTTGTTGATAAGATAGTGACTTGTTCATGGAAAGAAGCAATTTTAACAACCCCTTGGAGATCAGTAGCTTTGTCAGATACTGGTATTTTGAGTTGTTTCTCAAGACCTGGCATTGGAACATCTGAAGATGATAACTGAGCCAGATGCGGCGCAACTTCTTGTAAAGAAATTGTAGACTTCCTCTGGTAAGAAGCCAAGGATGCAGCAATACCATCAAAAGGTCGCCACACATCTCCTAGACCTGCAGCAGATGTGGGGGGAGTTTTAAATGATAAAATTGCTGATTTTAATTGTTCTTGATACTCTTTCTGGAACCAAGCTTCATGAGGGGTCTCAGGTTTTCGAGCAGTTGAAGCTAAACGACGTTCCAAGGCCACAACTATTGGTGCCATCATTGCAGAATATCGAGCAGAATTTATCTTGTTCTTCTCATTCTGACTAAGACTGATGTTTTCTGCAATCCTTGCTGCTTCCTCTTTCAGCACATTTACACGCCTCATCACATCTGCAACAAGACTAACTAAGGCCCAATTCCATCATCAAAGAAGACAGAGACAAATATCCCATAAATAGGAAATTTCAGGCATGTTTGGTTTCTGTTTTTAAAATTGTTTTCTGTTATTAAAAATAAAAAAATTTGTTTCAGTTTATGGGTTTAAATGTTTTCAAAAATGTTCTCATATTTTTGTTTTTTAAAACAAAAAATGGAAACAAGTTAGAGCTATTTTCGTTTTCTTCTTTTATTTTTAAAGCACATTATATTTAATTATTGTAAATTACCTTCAATTATGGTCAACCACTATCATAGGTCATCAACATTAACCATTGGCAACCACCACTGTCGGCCTCTTTTAAACTCTCAAATTGTTTTCAAATTAAATTAATCAAACAGATTATCATTTTATTTTGTTTTGAAAAATAATTTTTATAAATTGGTTTACAAAATAGTTTTTGAAAACAAAAAATGAGAACAAAACCAAACAAGCCCTTCATCATTTATTCTGTCTTGTAGGCAAGGAAAAGAGGCATAATGATAAACCAAAAAAACAACCTGTGTGTAGATCCTGAAGAGTACTGAGCCACAATTCCTCCCAGAGAACAGTAACATTGCTGAGTTCATTTATCATTAGCTGAACATCCTGAACCAACCTAGGGTAAAGTTCCCTCTGCATGGTAAAAAGTGGGTTTTAGTAGTCTCATTCTCATACAGTAAGTTGAATGGGCAAGCTCACTAAAAATTATTCAAAGCAATAATTGCTCTTGAATACAGCCAAATTAACGAGCGTATATTATGATGAATATGTCTGGTCGAAACTAACAGGTTCATATCAAGAAACTTACTGAACAGAAAGCTGGATTACCCTCTTATTTGTCATTCAACGTTTGAAAACAAGCTATTGAGTGCATATCATGATGCCCCTTACTACAATCAGTCAATGCTCCAAACACATTTGAGAATAAAAAGCAAACTTCAGATAGGACTTCTACTTACGCTAGCAGGTCTTCAGTATTCTACAAAGCTGGGAACATATTTTAGCATGCCACCCAAGCCTTAGGTAAACGAACCCGCCAGAATAGAATGGCAATTTGGATTTTGGATTCACAAAGTTGAGGCCATGAGAACGGAAGAGGAATAAGGTGCATCAGGAACAAACCAGGATACACAGGTCTCATTTTATTTGCAGAATCAAAGGCCATGGAAATAGAAAAAGAATGATAAAAGATATGGATGGAAAGAATTATGTTTACTATAGTTAATAATGGAATAGGAATATGACAGGTACCTTAGCTACTAAGGCATGAAAACCAACCCACTTAAATACCCTATTGAGCATCCCATGCCACTCAATATGAGACTTGGTATCCCATATTACCAAGTCTCCATAAAATACCTTTCCAATAGTTTGTTGGGTAGGATAAAAATAATGAAGAAATCAGAACAAATGAGAGCAAGATGACAAAAATACCTCTAGCCGAGGAAAAAAAATATTTAGTTCAGAAATTTTTTAATTAAATTTAAATTTAATTTCCTATAATCCAAGAAATTATAATTAGATTTTATAAAATTTATGATATAATTTTTAATATTAAACTTTGTTAGTATTTCATAAAATTTATTAATATGACCACTTTTATATTATTATAATATTGCAAATATTTATTATTCATATTTACAAAATGGATAGAAATAGTACAATTGCAAAAAGGATGGCTTGTTATCTCCATCTCCTCCTTCGTGCCAATGGAAGGAAAAAATGAGCTCGAAGTTCAAACCCTTCAAAAAGCTTTTATACTATGTATCCAAGGGCATATCTGGTAATCAACTTTTTCCCTCAGATATTTTATTGTTGACACCAAAACACACAGTAATCCAATTTACCACTTCTTTCCCATTGATCGCAGAGCACGCAGTGAACCAAACATATTAAGGATAAGCTATTCACCGTTTCCATCTCCATCAAGCTACTAAATGGGGCCACACTTGGACTTTTTCAGGTTGAGAGGCAATCAAAGAATAGCCAATTTATGGTAAGTAAAGACACAACCAAGAACTACTGGTAATTATTATTATTATTATTATTATTATTATTATTGCCAATGAAATTTACTAGCAATTATTGAAACATTTGCCCTGCAGTAATTTAACACCCAATTATCAACATGACGTGAATGGAAAATAAAATTTTGAAAATAAAATACACCATATCAAAGAGAAATTTTCAGTACCAGACAACTCAGCACATGATGTAGCTCTTCTGAAGGCCTCTCTTCATAAGCATTAACATCAACTAGTGTTGGGTACACTATGGAACAAGGAGACTGCTTAGCCAGCATAATCAGTAAGCCCTCCAGATGCTTCCGGATCACTTGTTCATGGTGAGAACTTATGCGAGCAAATAATTGAGGGGTAACTTCCTACAAAAGACAACCATAGAATTCCATAAAAACTATCCTCTATTGAGAAAAATGAAGTAATTAGAAGTAAAAATGCCAAGATCCAGCATGCAACCTGCCATGGCAACAAAGGGACAACCATAAGAGCAGATTCAAGCGTATCTTTCAACTCCACACCATAATTGAGAAGTATATGCAATATGTACAATATAGCCCTCAGAGTGTAGCTTCCAGTCTTTTGCTTCAAAGACTCATCATTGAAACAGGCATCTGATTCTGGCAAAGCTGGGTAGATGAATAAGAAAGATATTGTATATAACCATAAGCTGCATGCCCAAACAGGGACACTCTTCTCCTCCTCAAAGACCACCAAATGTTGACTAAGTCATCCAAAGTAGATATTACATCAGATTCCCGGAGCCCAAGATTTGCATTTAACAAACAAATTTTTAACCGAGAAGATAGCATGACTGAAAGACTTTCCCCACCACAGTTTTCTGCACCTGGTGCCGCAGCCACTGTTTCAATAATATTCACTAACTGCAGCACTAATGTTGTTAGAGGGTTGTCGCTATTTGATTGCTCTTGTGAATCAAGCCAAAATTTCCAACCTTCTTGTTCATCTTTGAAACATTTCATATCACCCTTGTCCTGTAAAAGGTTCAAAATCAATGATTTAACCTGTTGTACCTCATCCTTAGTCAACTTAAATCTCTCAGGTGAAACTTCAGAAATAAGTATTGGAGAGAAGCACGAACGAAGGGCAGCTTCATTATTATTAAGTTGTGAGTCCTTGGCTTGCTTGAAACACCAAGAGGCATAAGAAATCCATGACTTGCCCATGGTGGGGCAAATGCAAGTAGACAACTTTGTGGATGTGCCAACAATCTCCTCAGTAACCTGACCCACACTATGCTTAAATCTCATATTCTCTTCATTGCCATCCTCATCAACTGAAGGGATTTCAGCCCTTTCAAAATCTGCAAGTATGTTAAGAACTACATTATTGGGAGTCCAATCAGAATAATTTTGCCTCAGCCACTTTGCAAGCTTCAAGCATGCTCTGGCCCTCAGAATCTTCTCATCAACGTCAGACATTCTATAATCTAAAGAAACCATACAAGGACGCAACAATGACCAGAGGTTTGTGAAAGCATCTTCAAACTTGTTTTCTGCATACAGTAGCAGAATGCTCTCATACTGTAAATTTAAAGAGAGAAGATCACGATGCCTCTCTTCAGGACAACTGGATATGCAATCTTTGAGACAGTTTTTCAAACGATTTGCCAACAATAGGTTTCTTTGTCTTCGGGCTAAATTCAGCAAATTCATGCAGAGCTCCATACAAACTGAAGAAGTTGAGAACATTGCTTGGTATACTCGAAGAACCTTCAACCATGGACTACAATCTTGACGGATTTTGCTAATAGAAGATGGCACCGACTTAATATAGGAATTTAATATTGACTGAGCATGTTTGGCCTCGTCATGTGTTGATTTAAGCTTGCAATCCTCTTCTAATAAGAAAATGCAGTGCAACTGAACAGCAAGAGGTGTTGCTTCAGCCAACCCTTCAAGTGGCAAAATAGATAGAGGCTCCTCCAACATTGATCTAGCCTTCTGCAAATCAAGAATCACTTTATCACTCTTTCCCCCCTTTTGGAAAAGCAATGATTGCAAAAGCATCTGCTCACTCCGTTGCAATGCTATTTTTGGATCAAGGGTGAGTTCACTGCTACTTTTAGGTGTCAAATCTAGGCAAGACCAAGCAGCCTGGTAATCACCCTCATCAAAGCGTGCCAACGCATAGATTGCATTAATTTCATTTCCAGCCATAGTTAGAGCCCCAGAATAGCTTTTTCCAGCATGCTTAGAACGAAGTAGTTGCAGCTCTAATAGCCAACTTTCAAGAGATTTCCAATCTGATACAGCAGTATAACTCTCAATTACTCGTGCAATGACAAATTGCACACCATCAGAACCAAGAGAACTAAGTGACTCCTCTGTTTGTAACAAGTGAGTAAAATGAGCAGCAGCACTTTCATATTCACCTCTTGCCTGATATACAAGCCCTGTTATCCATGAAAGAGGGCTGGCTGTGCCAGAGTCATTGAAGGATTGGTTATCATCCCCAAATAAGGAAGAGAATGTTATTGAAACCCAATTTTGCAAGCCAATCAAAGACTCTGGTTCAAAACTCCTGCAAAGAGATAGTGACATGTGCCTTAAAACTTTTAAGACATCTGCTTTATACCTTCCTCTGATACTATGTAAGTTCTCAGCTACTTGAGCTCTTGATTTTTCCTTCAAAGCTGACATGGAAAGATTTTTCAGCTCCTGCAAACGTAGAGTGCAGTATTGAATAATAGCATCATTGCAATGTAGAGCCAATCCAGCATGCATCATTGGTTCACATATACGAGAAAACCACTCTTCACAAACTTTTTTGTTAGCTCGAAAGAACAAAGAACTCTGGCGGGTAGCAGATGGTAAAATGACAGAACCCTCATATGCATTATATACATTTTTCTTTAGAGCCTCAACAAAATCCAGCAATAATCTCATTGGCAATAGATGAGCACCAGAAGATCCTATCATGCTTAAATTTCCATCATTTTGCTCGTTATCAAGATGTAGAAGGTGAGCAACATCCAAAAGCATGCGCTCTAGGGCAGCGAATGTTTGAGCAGGTCCACCAAGATTGGTCCTAAGACGCGTAGCAATACAATACCTAGCAGCTTCTTGTACAGCCCACCAGGCACCAGCTAATGAGTTGACAGAACATATTCTTTCAAGAATGTCTTCATCCACTTTTACATCCAACCATACAGCATTAGCACCAAAAGTTCCAGTATCTTCAGGCTGACTAAAAATAGAATCTCTTGAACTCTTGCAGCTGTGAATGAGCCTCTGAATCCAGGAAGAAAGAGGCACCTTCCATCTCTGTGAAATGAAACTTAAGATAGACACAAGTTGTTGTGAATGCAGTTGCAGGGGCAGCTGCTTCAGGGAAAATACTTGCTTCCAGTGCAAGTTGGAAGCATTGCCTAAGCTCAGGTTAACATGCCTAAATCTCCCATAATCATAAAGGCCACAAGCATATACAGTAGTAGGCAAAATATGGGCAAGTAACCTCACATATGCATCCCGTATCTCAACAACTGGATCACCAAGTTTCTCAAGTATCACTTCAGCTAGAGGATAAAAACAAACCGGATGTAAAAGTTTTGCTCGCAGAAACACCTCTAAAGTTATTGCAACATGTGATCTCACTTCAATTTCTCTGTCAAATGTAGCAGCTAAGAGTGAGAAAACTAATTTCACTACAATATTAGCATGTCCACATGGTTCATAGGAATAAGCACTTGCATTTGAGATCTCATTAATAGCCATAACAATCTCACAGAACTTTTGGCCCCAATGTAGGGCTGCCAGTTTAACTGCAAGAGGAGACGAAACCTGAAGGCCTTTAATCAGGAGCAAGCTATACTTGGCTAGATAGCCAGTAATCAAAGCTGAATGGCCATCACTTAAATGGTCAGCGCTACTCTCCTTTTTAGTTGGAAATTCTATAAAATCATTATCATAATTCCGGTCTCTCACAGAGCACTTGATCATGAGCTCAATTGTAGTCAGCCTCTCTAGTGACTTGAAAATGGCAACCTGCAACTCCAAGTAAGGTTGAATAGGGATTTCAAAAGGATTCAGCTTTTCCGTAATAAAAGACACCAACTTTTCTGACCTCCTAACATACATGGCAACAATTTCTGTTGGCCAGTCAAATTGCTATCCACAGCCAAGGGAACACATGCCAATAGAACTTTCAAATCAAACTTGATTAATGAAAATAATTCAAGCTTAGAAAATGTTCTTGAAGTTGTGACACTATTGAAATCATTTGTATGATGAATTTTTTTTCCTAGCATAGCCTTCAACACCTCCAGCTCTTTCATCATGGAGGTAACTGCTTCATTGACAACTTCTTCATTTCCATGTTGAAGCAGGAAAATATAAGTGGCAGCACAACTTCCTGTTACTAAATGATTTGGATGGAACCGCAGCTGAGAAATTGGTGCATCAAACTGCAATAACTTCTGCACAGATGATGCAAGGAGGCCAAGCTTTTGCAATGATAATAATTGAAGATTAGTTTTCAGAACCCCATGAACTTGAAAGGATGTAATTTTCCTATATCCAGCATGGTGAGTTGTAGCGTCCATGTTCAAGCTTTGAAATAAGATATCAACAGCAAGAGGATAAAAATTTGAAAATTGTTCACACAATATTTCTGCTAATAGGGTCAAACACTTCCAAAAGTCTTCAATCCATTCAGACCATCCAAATTTTTGCCCAACCACTGATAAGCATCTCAACAAGTGAGGTAGCATTGTGCTAAGGGGTTCACTTATTTGTTCAAGAAGATTCATTTCCAGCAACCCAGAAGCAGTAGATTGCAGAATTGTTGAGAAGCAAGAAAGTAATGCCAGAAGCCTTCGAAATTGAGGTGGGGTTCCAGGTGTTCCATCTTGAAGCAAGACCTCCATGTCACCCAAAACTTTGTCAGTAACCTTAGAGACATAGCCAAGCTACCAACCCAATGTTTCTGAAATTGCAAGAAGCTATCCATTATAACACGCCTTTCTGATTCAGCAAGGTCTGGTACCAATGCCCATCCAAGAAGGAGGTCAACAATGTCTGGAAAATGAGGTTGAAAGCTTCTTGAGAATTTCACCGAGATCAATGTTATAATTCCCAGAAGTCGATGCAATAAACTCAAGGAGGTTCTCTCATCCTCAAAGAGTAGCTGGCATGCTTTGAGAATCGGCAAAACATACCTCTCAGATCCAACAACATCTCCAACATTAAGAAACTCTCGCAGACCATCCAACGCCAATTCCTTAGTCCCATCAACTGCACCAACATTACTTAATAATGGCAACGCCCAACCAATAAACCTGTCAACTAAACTTGCAAGTATGACATGGTTCTGTCTTCCATTTGATGCAACAGGAATTGAACAAATGACAGCACAGAGAGCACCATAGGCTATAACTGCTGCCTGACGCACAGCATAAGATCTGTAGTGGGATTTCCCAAGAAGGGGGAAAATAATATTTCGGCAGAGTCATATTTGGACAATGAAATGAAGGTCTAGTTCAGGACAAAAGCCTCTCTATTTGCTCATATTAACCACTCAAAATAAAATCCCTGCTAAATAATAATGTAATATGCAGAGGGGCGAATTGATGGGACTAAAGCAGTATATTCATTAGCATAAAACGAAAAAAACAGAGGGAAGAAGCCTTAAAAAAATGCTTTGGAGTTCCCTTCTGCCTCTAACACAGTGTCTGTAAGACCTACAATTTGTAACATAAATTACTTTCCCACAGCCGATGGATTCTTCTCTTACAAACGGAATGAACCATACAAAAAGCAAACGACTATTTTCACTCAAACCAGTTCAGCGGTAAAGATTAAACAAAAATCGACTAATAAAAAGGAGAATAAAATAAGAAAACGATACGCATAGCCAACAAAAAAACTGGTCAGGCAGACTCAAAATTAACCAATAGCCACAGAAACGGAAGGGGGGGTACTTACTTATCAGACAGCAGTTGAGAAAAACCTTGGGTGAGGAAAGCGGCGGAGTGAGTGACAAGGAGCGAATTGTGCGGATATACAATTGCGCGGTGAAGTGAGTTAATGGCAGCGAGTCGAGGAGAGTCATCGTCGTCGGAAGGGGCGGTGGACGAGGATGAATCGTCCTTTGGAAGAGCAACGGAGAGAAGCGCTGCAAGTTGTTGCTGATGATGATGGAGTCCTTGCATCATTGTGTCGAAGATTATGGTTTTGCATCTCGTGCTTCTACTCTGACTTCCTCCATATCTTGCACTGCTTCCTGCATTTCTTTTGCCCAGAGCAAGTTAGCAAACACGAACGGATGGTCCATTCCATGAAATTGCAATGGCGTGCGAGGGAGATATATTGATTTTTTTTTTTTAATAATCCGGAGATATATTGATTTGATGATCTTTGTAAAAACTAAAAAGGTGTATTGTGTGAAAATTTTAATATCTCATAAATTTTTAATTAATAGCAGACGCTGGCTTTAGGGAATAGTAAAAATAGAAAATTGAAGTAGCATGTATGATAATATTGAGATGACTATGAGAAACATATTAAAAAAAAAATCTAACATAAACATATTTAAAAACAATAAGTGTAACATTTATTAAAGGAAAGTAATAAAAAATTATTTAAGATAATCTGTACATGCACATAAAATTAATAAGGAGAGAAAGGCTAATTTTGAACTTCATAAAGAGAAGTGGAAAAGGACCCAAAAAAAAAATTTTGTAAAAGTTATTAAATGAAATCTCTTAGTTGATAATAGAGTAAAGTATATATTTAGTTTTTTAAGTTTACGCAACGTTTCATTTTAATCTCTTAATTTTATAAAGTATATTTTTGATCTTTTAACCCTAACGTTGTTAGTTTTATTTTAACGAATGTTTACATTAAACTTTCAAATATTGATAAAATATTTTCAGATATTAACATGTTAAGTTTAATTTTTAAAAAATAACAATGACAAAAATAATCATTTGAAAGTAACAATGCTAGGGTTAAAAAATTAAAAAGATACTTTACAAAATTAAATAATTAAATTGAAACTTTATATAAAGTTAAAGGACTAAACATATACTTTAGCCTTCATAATATTGCTAGAAGGTTTCGTTCAACAATATTAATGATGATGTCTTAAGTTTTTCCTTTTCCTTGTTTGACCAGAAAGATCTTTTAGTTTGGACAAAGGCTAATAATGGAACTTACTTTGTGAAACAAGGTTTCTCTTTATTGAGAAATAATTCTTTGAGCTTTATGCAAGTTTAGGGAGTGGATTGGAAGAAATTATGGAAAATTGACTTACCTTTTAAGTTTTGCTTCTCTCTTGAAATATCATTCATGAAGCCATTTCTACTTCTGATATACTACAGAAACATCATCTTCAAATCTCGACTCCTTGCATTTTTCAACGATGATGAAGAAGAAACTCTAAATCATATTTTCCCCCACTGTAATTATGCAAGATTTGTATGGTTTTCATCAAACCTTGCTCTCAGATATAATGAAATGAATGATATTAAATTTTTCCTTATATCCTAAATTAATCAAGCTTTATTAGATAGGGAATGGCTACATCAGTTGAAAGAAATTCTTTTGCTAGTCTAGGCAATTTGGGATTTTAGGAACAAATTGAAATTTCAAGATGACAATATCAATCCCATATATGAACATAAGAAGGTTAATTGGTGCTTATCAAGCATTAACTTTTCCTCAACTGACTCAAACAATTCACCGCTTCGTGTAGTAAGCGATGAATGGAGCAGGTTCCAAGTGGATTGATGGATAACTGTTTTTTAAAACATGCAAGAGCTTGAGAAGGTTGGTTCATCTTTTTTTGATACTAGTGAGAAGAGGGACATGAGAAGACATAAGTGCATATTTAGTAAGTTTCTTATTTTTAAAGACTTTTGTTTATTAAATGGCAGAATTGGAAGGGCTAGTATGGAAGAAGATCAACTTCTTTTTTCCCCAAAGGAGTTGCACTCCATTTTAAAATAGATAACTAATCTTGATGATTTTGGTTTACCTAGTTTCTCTATTGTTACTATTGTTTTCATCAATGGTAAGAATTTGAAGAGTACTCTTATTCTAGTTGAAGGACACCCAGCTACTGGCATGATTTGGAAATATATTAACAAGCTACTTCATCTCTTTACATTCTCTTGGTTGGAATTATTGCCTAATCATTGGAAAAAATTGATGAATTCAAAATAGCAGTTCACCTATTTGTATGAATTTTCCTTTTCATAGTTAAACTTTTTGTAGTTGTTTGTAATTCCAAAAAAAATATTGTTAAAAAGCTTGGTTGATGATAAAGTACAATGATATCGTGTAATCTATATAACCAATTCCACTTAGGAAGATAAAGCTTGTTGTTATTGTTGAATGCATGCGTAATTTGTCTTTTTTATTAACACAAGATATTGATTTTATCAATTTTTGAAAAAATAGCTAATATAGAGTCACAAAAAATAGCATTTTAAATTTTGAGTTATTAACAAATAACTCACATTTAAAATAAAAGGTGTAAACACCTAAGTTTATACATTTAAGCTGTCATTTTTCACTTAAATTAGAATTAGAAAATATTCACACTTTTTTCATTTTTTGTTTGCTTGTGAGCATTATATGAGCATATATTTCCATGAGAAGCTCTTGCTCAATAGAACTAACTTATTGGGATAAGACTAGCTTCATATTTTAGAGGATCAAATGTTGAACAAAAAAATGATATAACATTTAAGTATTTAATCAATGGTTCGCTTGTTTTACCTTTTTTTTAATAAAAACTATCTTATCTTTTAGAAAAAAAATCTATTTGGTGAGAATTTATGATATTTGTTTTAAATTTGAAAATAATCAAAATAAAAAAAATAGATTTTTAAGTATTTTGAGAAGTTATTTTGAATAGCTTCTAAAAGTAATTATACAAGGAAGAATGTTAAGAAAATACGAAGACACATGAAAATGACATAAAATTTTAAAATATTAAATAATAAGTAATTTTTATAAAAAAAAAGAAATCCAAGAATATACCATAAATTCTAAAAATAACTCGTTATTTTTAAAAAGGCCATTATTTCAATAATAAGTTGCTATTGTTTTTGCAAATTCTAGTTTTTATACTTACTAAAAATATAAACACCTTATTTTGTCTCTAAACCTATTACCCTTTGGAAAAAAATTAAAAAGTAATTTGAAATATGTAAATATAAAATATGTTAATATAATGTCATAAAAAATACAATATAAAAATATTTTTTAGATATTAGTAGTCATGGTTAAGCATGCTTTAATTGTTTTTTAAGGGAAAACACAATCAATTGTCCTTATAATTTCATCGAGTTGTTTTTATTCTTATAGTTTTTAAGTGTTTTTAATGCCATATTTAATAAGATCGAGTGACTTTTGTTCCTCAAATCCCTATAATTTTAGTGTTTTCAACCTTATATGCAACATCTCAAAATTTAACACAAGGGTTAGATTAATTAATTAAGGCATTTAATGAGTTAATTTCTTTAACTAAAGGTTAACTTTAGAGTTGGGAAGGCTTTTTAGGCCCATTGAATCGAGGTTTAAAATAGGATTTAGAGAACTATTAAGTTGTTTTGGGCCCAAATTATTGGGCCTAAATTAAGGTTCCTAAAACATGCCATCCACTGTGTTGGAACTGTCAAATTTTAAATTATGTAGATGCATTTCGATCAATATAATTGAGGGAGATTTTCTGGAGTTTCAAACGAGAGAACATAAGGAAAGCTATGCTTGGGTTCATCTTAGAGGTCATTTAGAGGATATCTAAAGCTAGAAACACCTTGGGTAAGCTTCCTTCTTCCTTCTTCTCTTTTCTTACTTTTTCTTGGAGTTTTCTTGTGGCAATGAAGGCCATCCAAAATGGCAGCCAAGTTACGACATTTTAATGGCTCCAATGAAGTTCATAAGTGTTCTTAAATTCCTTTAATCATGGGTTTGAGTGGTTGATAGCATTTAATGCCATCAATGAGGGGTTTAAGATTAACCCTAACGCTAAATAGCTAGATTAAGTTAACGGGGTTAGTTATCAATTATTTTTAAGTTTAATGAAAGTTAAATAAATTAATGGAAGTGAGTTTTGTGGTTTGATTCTACTTAGTCATGTTTATTGAAAGTCTAAGACCTTAATTGTAATTAAGGTTAATTAATGACGATTAGTCATTAATACAATTTGTTAATTATTAACTGTAGATTGACTAATTAGAGCTTTTCATGCTTGTTGGGAAGCTTTCTTAGAATCCAAAACTATATTCTTAAGAGGGTAACCTAAAAGTTAAGGTAACTTGGAGCTAAATTTTTATAGATAATTGTTATTTGCAATTATGAGTTGTATATTATTGATTGTGTTGACTCCAATGATACCAATATATAATCTTGTTATTATTGAACATTAAGCATTATGTGATATGTGGCTATAAGTTTGTTGATAATGAACTATAGTGGTTGATTTGTTTTTGGTTGTGTGATTATTAAGCTTGATGGGAAGATGGCATTATGACTATTGAAATCTTAATGAGTATTGCTTATAGTATATGAATTAATATGTGTTATGTGTATAAGGATGTAGATAGTGGTTAAGTGATTGAATATTTATGGTACAATGCTAACAACGGAGTATGAATACATGTATTGATAGTGTAATCTTGTATAAGAAAAAAATTGTTAAAGGATATAGTGATGATATGTCATGAAGCAGGCCTTATAATATTGATATGAAATTTAAATATTAGTTTTTTCTCCTTAGCTTGATAATATGTGCATGATTATGAAATAAGTTAATTAAGTTTACATTTATGAAACATCATCAAGTAATATGAGCATGTTGCATGATCATGGATAGGTGGGATTCCACTCGAGTGAGTAAGGGCATTACAGAAGATCTACATGGTGTAGCCTTCACTGAGATTTGCGCACGATAGTTGACATATTTGATTACAGTGTATGCCCATTGTCAATTAGGGATATAATATGTGAGCACGCTTGCCAAAGATCACAGTATAGGTCATGGCAACTATGACACTCTAGTATTTGAGGTGAAGGAATCCATAGTCTGAGAGTTATGACCCCTCACAATTAGAGAGCAAGTCTAATCCATTCACACGAGTTGATCCTATATGATTTGATAGTTTTGTAGATTCAGTTGAAAGATATAATAAGAGAAATAAAGATGGAATGCATGTGATCATACATAATTATCAGAATTACATTTTATGCCTTGTGTTTAATGATAAATAGCCTATCAATACATGTTGAACATTGAAAATTATGTCAATTGTGATTCCTTGCCTTG